TGACTGAATCTGATTCTAATAGCACTGAATCAAGCAATGTATCGCAAGACTATTTCGTATTGGATCCTTTGGAATTAGATTCGCCGATACAACAGCAACAACAACAACAACGACAATCACCACCACCAGCACCACCATCAAGCCCGACACAATCGGGCGATGAATTTATCATCATAGATTCCCTGGAACATGATGATGAATAAATATAGAACAATTCCTTAAATTATTTTATTTTATTTTATTTATTAAAATTTTTTTCATTAAAAAAATCTATCAAGTGTCTTTTTTTAGTCAACGGAGGGTTAAAATAATCAGCTTTAGCTTTATTATTCTTTCATTCAAATGATGATGCAATCCAAAATCCATTTATCCAAAAGTTTGATCTTTAGGTCAATGAAGACTTTTGTGTGTTTTTTTTGTTTCCGACGTGAGATCAGAAAATAGATTAAAAACATGTTTTCTTTTTGTTTGGTTGTCACATGTGTTTGGTTTTCCTTTGTAATTTGATTACGTTTAATTTTTTTTCTGGCTAAAAATTAATTTTGTTGTTGCTAATGGTCATTTTTTATAAAATTAATTATAATTTATAAAAAATTCGGAAAGGTTAAACAATTATCGAATGGATCATATAAATTTAGTAATAGTTTCAATGAATAGAAATTATTTTTTACGATAACTTTCCTTTATTTTACAAAGCTTTTTACCATCAAATACAATCAAATCTTATCTATAGAATCTTTGATAATAAAATATTTTCAATCGAATCAATAAAAAATGAACACTAACAACAACAACAATAATAATCAATCTGCCAATAACAATTCAAATATTGGCCAAAATTCTTTGAATTTATCAGCGGAAATACCCGATTTCCATGTCATACAAGATATGTCTGATCTTGCAGAATCTGGCAGCCAATTCGAAGAGAGAATTGGCGATGAAGAAGACATATCCAGGGATTTCCAGTGGTTGGATTTATATACCAACCAAACCCATTATAGGAACGTTGAATGGCGTTCAAGTCCGATACCAAGAACACGGACAAATCAAATTGGCCAAAATTTGGTCTTGCATGAATACTCCGGTGGAGTTTCTTACAATAATGCCCAATCAAATACTGGGTCGAATAAGTTCGGCATTACTAATGTCGACATTTCCGAAAATATACAATACGGAGGTAAATGAAATTGATTTTTTTTTATTAAATCAACTAAATATCATTCAATTTAGATTACTCCGATTCGGATGTTTATGACCGGCTTCAACAACAACAGCCGGTAGTACCACAACAAGAAAGACCCGT